AAATATATAAAATGTTTTGTATTCAATCAAAGAATAAATAGTCTTGCAATAAATATAATTATTAAATTAAAAGTGTTTTTGGCAAAAAAATTGCGCAATTACATAAATAAAATTAAAATTTAACAAGCAACAACGTACAAAGCGCACGCATAATATTTCACCTAATTGTTTTGACCGTATTCACGGGCATTCCAAACACCGTGAGGATGAACCAACTTTATTCATCGACACTGTTACCCACCACCAAGAAGTTCCATGGCAACGGCAATTAGAATTGGCTTCTATTAGAAGACAACGACTTAAAACACAAAAGTCGTCTCTGCACCGCTGGAAGGAGGAAAATGACATTAAACAAATGGACTGGCCGCCACAGTCACCCGATTGCAATCCGATCGAAAATGTTTGGCCTATTATTAAGGCAAGACTTCGTGGTAAAACACACATTTAACGCCAGTGGAAAAGTTTTCAACGTGAATATGCTGAAAATTTGAGCAAAAGTATGCCGAATAGATGTGCCCGTGTGATCGAGAAGACAGGAGAATGGATTAAATATTGATTGTGTGCGCCGTAGCTTAGAGACCAAATGAAACATCAATAATTTTTTTTATCTCAACATCGTGTGTTTCATTTAAATTTTGTTTTTATGTGAGTTCAAATTTAAGTAAAACATATGTAATAAATGCATGTTGTTGATCACAGTGCGGAAAAGTTCATCTTACGGATGTAAGACATTTTATTTTATGGTATGAGAGGTTTTTATATGTATTTACGAGAGAAGTGAGGCTGGATAGAAAAACGTTATCCTTGATGACACTTACGATCTCAAACCGAATGAATTCCACTCCGAAACTTTCGTACACATAATATATATTAAATGTATCAATTGTTTGCTTTGTTAATGTAAAAACGCAATACTGTCAATGGCTACTGTAGGTCTGATATCTGATTTTAATATTTAATAAATAACTCTGTTTGCCAGTTTTGGAGCAGTTACCTTTGGCTACCTAATCAGTTTTTTCTTTGTTCATTTCAAAGTGAGAGTTTCATATAAGCAAAGCAGGTATTCAAGTTTTTTGGTGTCAAAGATGAAGAATTCAATCGATTACAGTTCATGCCATTTGAGATATTTTCCCGGTCGTGTTGCTGCAAAAAGAGCTCTTGAAAGATATGTAAGTTTCGAAAACAATTACAATTCGATGAATGTGTGGAATGTAATATTTGATATTTCCATGACAACTCATTTTATCATTATACCAGGATGTCTTTGTAAATTTTCCGGAAAGCTCTGAACTTAATAGTATTAAAGAAATATATAAAACAGAGAGTTCAATTCAAAACAGCAGCTCAAATGAACATGTCTTTGATCAAAATATGCAACAAGAAAGCAATGGAAGTTTTGTGACTCAATTGGTGATTTATTTTATTATTTTTTCTATTACCTAAGAAAGATGTGAAATTAATTTCATTTTACTACTTACAGCCACATTACTCCGAACAGTCAAATGGACCATTTCATTTAGAAGCTACTGAGAAACCAGAATCAAAAGAACCGATAAACCCACAAGAGCAAGCTGAACATTCACAAAAGTCTATAGCACCAGACACAAATTCAGAGAATTTCAATGAATCAACGATTCTAATTGAAGCTGTGGTACCAAAGGACTTACCTGATCCACCACATTCACAAATGGAAATTGCAATAGTACCTAGTGATCAGATTGCAGAGACAGCATAAGACTAAAAGGAAGATATTGTTGATTTATTATTTGATTTCCTTTGAAGAGAGTAAAAATATTTACGAAAAATTACAAATGTGGTTTTTGAATTTTTTTGGTTGAATGTTCGCCTAGATGATTCAATTTGATTTCAGAGAAATTATTCAAATTTTGGAATTCATACTTACAACGTGTTGCTATTTGATATTTAATTAAAAATGCCGTTCATGCTTGGATTTGAGATTTATTTACTTAAATATTTGCATCACTTATACATTGTATTGACGTGTTTTTCCTTTTCTCGTTCTCAGTTTTGGTTTAAAATTTGTATTTTTTTTTTAATTAAACAATTTCATTGTCTAAGATATTTACAATAGCTCCTAGTTTAATATTAAAGAAATTTTCACAAAATTTCTCCTGCAAGTGTTAGAACAATCGACCTTGGGCGATTTTGACAGCATAGCAAATAGGCAAATTATTAATTTTGTAAGATCAACCGAAGAAAAAAATAACAGAATTCATTTGTAATATGCAATAAACGAGAAACTGTATGAATTAGTCCATAAATTAGATTTATAGATACTGATTAAATGTGAATTCGATTTAAATCCATTGATTGACACACAACAGTTATGCAGTAATTCTGATTTAAAATGGACAACAAAATGAATTTCCCTTTTCAGTCAACTCAGTTCACTTTGAATTTCCTATCTGTATTACGTATATATATCAAAATATTTATATCTAATGACAATTGACATTTTCATTTCGAAACACAATCAATGTCATTCGATGCCTTTCCGTTCCACAAACATTCAATAGAGATCACTTTTCAATAACTTATGAACTAAATCATGCATAACAACAATTAAAACAGTTTAATTTCTAGTTTCGTCGGTGATATTTTTTTTTCAATTCACTGCAAACCATAACTTGCCAATGAGGTTAAAAATTCTCTCTCATTTTCTTTCACTCTTTTATTTTAATGAATGCTTTCTGCATAAACCAATTGAAATAATTCGATTAGGAGATCGGGTAAAATGTATTCGCTTTACAGACGAATGACATGCTTACAAAAACAAAACCACAAATGCTGCGATGCGCTGTTATCATTATGTATTTTCTGCTGTTCCAAAAATGAATGTAAGTCACAAAACGACCGAAGTCAACTCGTCACCTAGAAAAAAAAAAGACAATCCGAAAAAACCATCATCAACAGCAACAACAACAACATCAGGCACTCCCGTGTGGTGTACTGACAAACTGCACTTTTCCATTGAAAGCCATGAAAACGTAGCGACAAAGCAATTCATAGCATTGTGACGTATATGATGATAACTTGTGTAATGTGCTGATAGAGTGATAGTCAACAGCTTCAATGCTATATAAAGATGCTTTTCCTCTTCATCATACGATGTTTCTTTTGTTCTTCATTTATTTATTTTTTATTCTGATTATACTCTCAGTTCAGTTTTTTTCTGTTATTTGTCAGTAGTATTTTTTTTCGGCTCGTCCATTTCGGTTGTTGTGTGTTGCAGTACCCAAAACATAAAATAATAATAAAAAAAGCTCACAGCGATAGCAATAACAATGTATTTGCCGAAGAAAAATGTTTTCACTGTTTATTCACAATGACTAAACCACTTGGATTTGTGTGCATCTTTTACGGAAACTGTGGCGCTCACATCCGAGAAGATACATTTCAGTTTCATCGAAGGAAAGGAGAGAGAATCATAAAAAAATCCGCATGAGTATAAAAAAAACCGGACGAAATAAGTGGCATTGATGCAAAACTACTGACTGAATTGTTGACAAAAGTGGGGATCCAAATGCAGCAAAACAATGGCAAACTGTTGAAGCTTTAACTATCTGCTAAGTTTTGAACTCTTCTTCCTCGAGAGAGAAGTGAGAGAAGAACGGAAGAAACACACTGCAATTCTTTTGCTCGGACTTTTCCACGATCTTCTTTTTTCACTTTTTTGCAATTGCTTTTTTTTGTAATTTGGTTTACAAAATATTTTCTCGGTAGCATAATCGGGTTAGATTCCATCGCATAATCGGGTTATTCGTTTCCTTCTTGCATAGTTTCCGTTATTGTTATCGTTACTGTTTATAATACGTGCTGAATGCTTTTTTTTGTTGCGTCTTTCACTTCATGCCGCTTGTTAAAAAATTTCAGTTGAAAATTATGTGTATGTGTGTGCGCGCGCGCACCATTTCGTTCATTTTTTGGAATTATTTCTCGAGTAATTCCGAATTGAATTCGAGTCAAAATGCACTTGTAACTTTCATTGAATACGTGGCCAATTTCAGTTTTCCGTTCAATATAATCATCCGTTATCAAACATACTATCAACACAATATACTCACACATTTTAAGCCAACCCACATTCACAACTCACAATTACTATACAAAGAATTAACAATACTTGCATGCATTTATATATGTGTTTAGACTGTTGTTTTCTTCACTGTGTTGACTGTTGTATAATTTGTTGTTGTTTTTTACGATTTTTTTTGTTTTTATTATTAGTATGTACTATTTTTGTTGTTGTTTTGTTAAATATTAGTTTTTAAAACAACTGAGACTATGCATAAAATGCTTAAATGATAGACGTTAGCTACATTATGACCCTATAACTATGGGCCAACAATATGTTGAGTATTAAATTCGCTGTTAATGATGCACTTGAAGTTTTTAAATGAAATACTGAAATAAAAGTTTTGGTTAGTGTCGTTGTTGACGGCGTCGTTATCGTTGCGCTGCTGGAAATGTCCTTTTCGGTTAATGAGTCGGCATCTCGTTGTACTTCAGAGCTAGGACCTTGGAAACGATGCTCGTGGCCTTTTTCACACCAATTTCCATCGAATCGACCAAAATGGCAAGTGTAAAATGGAGAAAAATAAAAAGAGATGAGAGAAAATTTCATTCGATTATTACATTTTCAATTTGATTTTTATGCAATTTTATTCTTATAATATTAAAATGTATGAGCGAGTTTATATGCAAAATTTATTTTATGTATTTAAATTGTTGGCAACGAATAAAAAATAAACTCTCTTTCATATAGAAAATGAACATTTTTTTTAAAAACATTAATTCATATTGAGTTTTGCGAAAATGAAACATTTAACTATGCGAAGCAAATGTATTTAATGGACAGAAATGGTGCATGAAATCTCTCTTCACTCCCTCATTTTGCACTCTCTCTCTCTTTCCCTTTTCACTCTTTCTCTCTCTTTCAGTCTTTCGGTCTCCCTCTTCCCATCTGACACTCTGGTTCGTCGAATTTGACAACATTTCAACGGCAATATGTCCAAAGTAAAAAAGAATGTTCTTCGCAAACAATCCACATTAAACTCAAAATTCTTTGATGTATATACCGATTTTTGTTTTAAAATCACTTTTAATCACAGTTAATGTGTAAACTGTAGTGATGAAACTGCTGACACTATTGTTGTATGCATTTTATACTTTGTTTTCAAAAAGTGTTGTCGTTTGCACGCCGAACACCCGAAAATTGCAAACGATAAAAGTTCGCTGATTAAATTGCTTTATAGTTTTTCGCACAGTATCAAAAACAACAACAACAACCAAACATTTCAACCTTTCGCACGCCAGCTGCATTTCACTCAATATCACCAAAAAAAAATGCAATTTTAAATTCCACTCGTGTGCGCTAAGCAGATGATATTAAATTTATTGACATTTTCGCTCTTATTATTCAAGTGCATAATTTTAATATTAATAAAACACAGGCGAGAGAAATGAAGCGCGTGTGGCTGCTGTTCAGGTGTTGTACAATTTATTAAGTTCGAACACAATGTCGAAACATACACATAATTTTCACGATTCTGTTTGACACGCTGCACATTTTATCCCCTTCGTTTTCATTGTGATCGTGATTCAAATCGCAAATATCTTTCATTTCGTATAGTACTATAACGTTCGGTTTGCATTGGCATTGCGATATGTTTTCTTTTGTTTTTTTTTTCTCTCGTTCTCTATCTATTTCACGCGTGTTGCTGTTATTGTTGTTTTGTATTGTTGAACAATTTACTCCAAGTGATCAATTGTTACAAAATCAAAGGTGAATGGGAGAGTACATTGTATGTGTGAGTGTGTCTGTCTATCGTATCGGTACAGCAACATTTCCTATTCACATTCCCTTCCTCATACTATATTGTAAGCATCGGCAATCGATTTTTTCTTTCGGTAGCAATGACAACTGGCATTTCAAAACCGTCTCGTGTGCTGCTAAACAAGCAACATAGGAGAGACAATTGCACGTAAGCGAATTTGCGGCTTACGTAAATGTAGCATTTTTCAACCGTCAGCTAAACGTGTTTGCAAACGTTATGCTGTTATGCCATTGTATAACATATTCTGTAATGTCTATCCGAGCTTCTAGTCGATTCATTCCCGAAGCGAATTCGATTTGTGTGTCGCGTTCTTACTGCTTTCGAATCATTTAAGTAATGTCTTTATGTCACAGCCGCTGGTAATTTATTTTTGGTTTTATGTTTATTTTCATTTTTTTTTATTTTCTCCCCTGTGCCAATCGTAACATCACACAACTAAATCGCTTGAGAAAAGGCATGTGCTTTAGTGTGCGCAATTGAACGACAGACGACGACTGTCGACGAAAAAATGATAATAATAAAAATAACGTGGCTGTTGTGACGGCTCACACACACCTCAGCCAGGATTCATTCGGTGAATAGCGATTTTGGGGCTGGATAAACAATCACATCAATTGCTTATCAAATGGGATTCGTTTTAATGCAATCATAAGTGTAAAGTGTCTACCAAATCGAATGGCTAATTGTAGATCGAAAGAGCTGCTGCATATTGATTTTCGCAGAGCATGAAATCGTTACTCACGGAACGCGCACCTGTCGGGTCGCTCTTAGTGAATATGTTAGCTTGAATCACTGTTATTTATAACAATATTTAAGCTTTTCACTAATGCAAACCTATAAGCGACTCCTAAGAAATTAAGCGCTTCACATCATGGTGACTTTAAACTCTGGTTTTTCTCTTCTTTGTTGCCTTAACCAAAATAGGAATGAAATGGAAACATAATCGAAAATTATTCAAACGCAGACGGAACCGAACCACCATCACTCCTTCTCCTTCTCTCTTGAGACAGTCGGTTTAAATGTTTTGCTGTGCCTCACCGTTTGAATTGAAAATAACTTGAAATCTTTATTGTTTTTAGCACGACAAAGCGATCACAAGCTATTGACCTGTTTTCAATCCATTTGACAAAAGCGCATTACATTCCTGGCAAAGTTTATCTCTTTTTTTTTTGTTTCTTTTCAAAACAATGAATGCACGTGTTTCAATGCTTGTTTCACACAATGAAATCCATCGATGCGAAATGAAAACAAGACAACCTAATCCAAAACCATTTTAAAAGTCAAATGCTCAAAAGTAATAAAATCCATTCGGTGTCTTTCACTCTCCCGCTCGCTCCGAACTAATAAAAAAAAGAAGCGAGTAGAATAGAAAGCGGTAGCGTTGCAATTTTTTCCTCTGTCCTATAGAAATGTAAACACGTTGCACTTTTTGTTTCTTTTCTCGCTCGTTTCGGGTTTGTTATATTTTGTTGTAACCGTTTTATGCCATTTACACAAGGGAATAGATCCATGGTTGGACGATTGCGTCCAATGGTACACAACATGAAATGTGTTCACTCTTTCATATACAGTTGTGTGTCTTTATTTTTCGTTTCACCATGTCGTTTTGTTTAAATAACGTTGTCAAATGAAATAGTGCTTACTATGGATGCGAATTTGTGTGATGTGTATGTGTACGTTATCCGGCGAATGAAATGTGTCAACGAGTGTGAAATAGCACATTGTGTAATGTGTTTGGTTTTGTCGTCACAAAACTGAAATACTATGCTCTCTTGCTCGTCTCCGGTCTGAGCATATACAAATAATCATATTTTCCCATTCATACGAATATGGAAAGAACGAAGTAATGTCGTCGCATTTTGCAATAAAAAAAAATCTCTCGAAGCAACTGGATAAGCAATGGCGCAAAAAAAAAATACTGAAATGATGCACGCGACATCATAAAAATACTTTGGTGTGTATATGTGCTTTTTGTGAGTGTGTGTTGTACAAAAAAGCAGCTGAGACTTTAAACGACGGCAGACATCAATGGTTGGCGGAAACCAATGAAGCCAGCCAATTCATATTCACATGTATATTGCTTCAGCAGTGACATTGTGATTGCCACTGAGGCTTCGAATAAAACAAAATTACGTTGCTCGCGCGCATTGTGTGTTGTTATTATTGTTGTTTTTGTTTGCATCACATGGATTTAATGGCTAAATAACATTTCAGCACTCATTTGAGACCGAGAGAATGGAATTCAATGAATTTTCATCAGTGAGGTTGAGAAAAAAAACGAGCACACGCGATAAATGATCTGTTGAGCACAAGTCTACAATATCAGCAACTTCTGTCACGCACCACATACTCTGAAATCAAATGCATTCACGCATGAGTTTTAATATATTCAATTACCTCTTCCATCGTTATTCCAATGACTTGGTGTAGCTCCGATTATTATGTTATTTGATGACATATCATCGTCGATATTCTGATGTGACAGACGACCTATAATTTTAATAAATTGAATTAAACGAAAAACCATTATATCGAACGGAAATTTGCATTGAATCAGTATTTATTATTCGATTAAGTACAAAGTGCTGGTGCTCACTCATGCACCTTGGGTGAAGCTACTGCCCGAATTTAGTGCTAATTTCCACAATATGGCAAAGTGTCACTTATTTAAACAGGGGCAATGGTATGGTGTTTTGCCGACATTCCAAGACAATTAGCATTAAATCCGATTTTAATGGTATCAAGGACAATGTGCAAGTGATAATTGAAAGACATTTAATTTAAGATCTATGTATTATTCGATAAGCTCAACCACATTTACGGAACTATTGTTCGCAGAAATGTTCAATCATTGTATGTTTACGATTTTAAAAGAAAAACAGACAAAACCGTTCCATTTCAATTTTCTTGTGAGTTTATCAAGTTGAACTTTTCCACCGCCCCATAATTCAAGTCAAATTGAAATGATAAACAACAATCTGAATCCATAGAAAAAAATTGAGACGACTGTCGATCTGTCACCAAATTCTCGACAGCTTTTTTTTTTCTCTCTATCTCGTTTCACAAGAATCGTTCTTTCGACATGATTAATTGTTTTATTAATAGCGTTAAGCTTGATTTATACGTATCTGAAAGAAACTCTTTAAGAGCGATTAAATCAAATGAGTACAGCAAGTCTGGTTTCGATTTGGCCTATGTTTCGTGTTTCTTCATTTCGAATAATATCGTGATATCGGCTCTCCGATTGGTGTTCGACGATGAAAAAAATCGAAATGAATGCGCTTGCAAAGCGATCGGTGCATAGATTTGTGGAATATGCCACACGATATATACTGGTTGTTGGCACATTTGTATCCCTTGTGTTTTTGCACGCTTAACTAAAGAGCGCGATGTGGGTGAGAAAGAAAAAAACACAAAATATGGAGCGATTTAAACGAAAATAGTCCATTTCATTTCACATTCGTCAAACGTTTCTCATATTCACTGTTTTCGTCATTTATCGTTCGCTTTTTCATTAGAGGACTTTTTTCCGCTGTCGCGTACTTTTTCAGTATAACTTCTCATCCACTACATTTGCGTTCTTTTTATTCGCACTCAAACTACATCGCAATGTCGTACATTCATCAATCCGATGATACTTTTTTTACTCTTCCACCAAAGTTTTCCGATTTTTTTTCGCTCTCTCTCCCTCTCCTTCTTCCTTTCCTAGTCTCTTTCTCCTTTTGAGGCTCTTTCGTATTAACTGATATTTTTGTTGTGACGTCTTCCTTAGGCACAACGACGGGTCTCCAGCATTGATTTCGCTCGTCTGTTGAATTTCTTCAATCGAAAACATTTTCAGTAAGTTCAACTCTTGGATAACCAACCATAAACAAAAACCAAAACATTCATACCCAATAAAAGAAAAACAGTGGAAAAACTTTCTGTCTCACCCGTTCGTCTTCTTTTCAGTTTCATATCGTTTTTCCGTTCATTTTTTCATCTTTCAATCCCATTGTCATCGTCATCATTGCCGTTGTCGTCGTTGTTTGCTGTCGTATTTAGATAGTGACTCATTTTTACAACTAGTGAATATGATAAATGGTAATAATGTCTTGTTCAACAACAGAAAAATTCATCAAATGAATTTATTGGGGCTATTTTAACAAAGCGGCTTGTTTTTTTATTACAGCTTTTACCCTTCTGTCACCACTAGCCAAAGTTGACTTGCAACATAAATATTATTATTTCATTGTGAAAGAGGAAGAGAGGAGAAATCAAAAGAATTTCGCCTTTTGCACCCGGCGATAAAATACGAACCAACAAAGGCCAATGCAAATTCTTTTGCAATTTCCGTTTCACAGTCAATTCTCAAACGCAACGCTATATTTATTGCCCAAGAGCATTGTTGGCATGCATCAATTCGCTCCAAAACGTTTTTGAATTTCACCATGCGAAAAACGAACGAAGCACACAAAAGATGAAAGTCTTTGGTGCTACTCTCTCTCTCTTGCTCCTTCTCTTGCTTCGTGCCGATCAAATTGAAAAATTGGATGGAATAAAGGCAATTTTCAGACGCGCTAAATGTAAAGTGAGTGTGACGCGTTTCGAGTTTCGAGATGTGACGAAGCGAAACTTGAGAGTAACTTGAGTCAGTCTAAAATCAAGTGCGGCGAAAGACTAAAAAGTAGCTCACATTCGTTTCGCTTTAACGACTGTGGAGAGGAGTGACAGTTGTTAAGTTGGGCGCTGAAAATACTGTTAGCACAAAATCGACAACATCATTTTTCGGTAACATAACTGAGACGGTGTTCACCATTCACCACACCAATGACGCTCTTGTATCATTACAAACATCAAATCAAAGTGCTCATAGACGAAATATTCATTCATCATAATTTATTTGACGCAAACATATTGTTTACTTCGTTCGAAGGCAACCTGTTTAGTGCTCAGTGTGTTGGTTAAACGACAAGGAAATCGATTCGAAAATATGACATGAGAAATCTACATAGACTTTCCTACACTGAATAGTGAACACTGGTACATTGTTTCAGCAGTCTTCGGTGACCATGATTCATCCAAAAGCCACACGTTTATCAAAAGGTGCTTAGTTTAACTCACTTTCTATACGTTCACATCGTAATTTAATTACCGTGAAATATGTACCGATTGCATTTTCCTTTGAGAACGGACAGTGTAATACCGTTTTCAACGGTCGTTCACCACATCAGATATTTTGGAATATATGCTATTCTTGAGCGTAATTACAAAAAATTGTTAGGGTTTTGATAATTAACGAAAGGTACCTTTGTTTTTCCTCAATGAGCTCGGTATGGTCGTTGATGGCATCGGTGTCGTTGTGGTTGTAGTGGTTGTTGTGGTGGTTGCCAGAGTCGTTGGTACTGTTGGTCGAAGTATTTCTGGAAAAAAAGATTCCATTCACAAACATTAAACACACATCATTTACCAACAAAAAAAAATCTCGAAAATCAAATCATTTCCGAAATTCGAGCCTTAAAAAAACGAAGCATTCGTTCGCGGAACATTAATTAGCATATACATTTCCATAAATCAATCGATATATTTTAATCTCTCTGTGTTGTTTAAACATTGACTTTTGTACACGCCGTAAAAATTGTTTGTATTATTTTTGGGTGTTCGAACCTAATTAAATGAAACCCATGAAAAGTCGATTTGATTGTTTCTCGACCGCCTCTCTCGAAAATGCGTCAACAACATTTCAACATTTGCTAAAGATTATCGCAGTTTCCACTTTTCCATTTTCACTGTGGCTCACTTGTGTTTTGCGTGATTGATTTCGATATTATTATTTTTTATTTATTTTTAAGTACATTTTATCGAAACATTGGCATGGTAAAATAACGAAACCACATTCACTTGACACGATTCGTTAATAAATAAAAACGAGCGTGTTTTTATTTTGCAAATATTCATATGTTATGAATATTTCGTTGTTGATAAGTGAATGTGTATTTATTTACCAGGCTTTGGTGGCCGATTAAGAGATTTTCGAGCTGCATAAATGATTCGAATTATTATTTCATTATTATTAATCGCGCAAATGAAATTTCAGCGACGAAATCTGAATAGGCTCATCGATATAAATGGAACACTTGGCGAACGCTCTCTCTCTCTCTTTCTCTTATTCAATGCCATACATTTCAAATGAATAAATATTATGAATTTTTTTGAGTGTTCGATGATGATAATTAATTTTCCCACCCCTTGCTCCATTCTGCTTCGATAATATTGTAAGTGGTTGTATTTCAGTGTTGTATTCTTCACAATATTTAATTGGTTTATTTTTCAGGCTGACTGAGAAATTGACGGTCTAAAAAAAATTACTTGAAAGTTGTAAATAAGAAAAATGTCGTTGCTATTGATCAAGTGTTCGCTTCGAGAATTCGATGTGATAAATTGAAATGAAGAGAATATGAGAGTGTGAGAAAGAGAAGTTAGATCACGATTCTGAATCGATGATAAGTTAGCGAGTGAATCTGTAGTTTCGATTAATTTCGCCACCCACTTGATTTTTACTCATTATAACGTTGTTTTGCGTTGGTGAATTTAATCGAAAACGGGCTATGGATAAATTGAGCGAGCGAAGAGAAAATGCAAGCTTCAATTTCATGAAAAGTCATTTGATACCGGTCTCTGTCGCCGTTAACGTTTACAAAACGTTCTACACTCGTTGATTTTATCGCAACCGAGCAAATCACCCGCACTCGACACGAGTAAATCCTGGTCTAAAGCCATTAAATAGCTTTTGACATACAATCATACGGCAGAAGAAGGTACGAAATGAACGATGAAAAAAATCAACCTTCCCCACAGAAGCACACACATTTCGAAAAAAATGCACACCTTTTGAACGACTCTAAGCGAAATACGCCTTGAAACAATCAAGCCCAATTTTTCACGCTGAAGTATTTTGTTTTGTGCGTTTGTTTCTGCTCTCGTTTTCGCTAAGACTTTTAATCGACACATAAGTCGTGTTTATTTCATTCCGCTGCCTATAAATCGTTTTTGGAGTCACTTTTATGTTCTTTTATGTGCCATAATCCAATAATATTTTTTTAAGTGCGAACGTGGATTTGTTTTCATATATCAAATCGCTGGTGTGCTCCGTCAAAACGTGCGAAACAAATTACACAGCCGATAAGCATTCCGAAAAATGTTTATGCACAAAGACTATGAAATAAACAACGAAAAAAATATGACGCTTCGTGTTTGTTTAGCGAAGTAAATTTGAAAAAATACCACAAACTCTCTCAATCTCACACTTTTTTCATAATTTTTTCCTCTTGCACTTTCTCTTACATGTTCACGCCCTTTTCTCTCTTCTATCCTTATAATATAGGTCTTGGTTATTTCGCATCGCACTCAAGCTATGAGTGGCAACGATTTAAAATACTTTATGCGATAATCTTTTTGTAAAATCTCATACTTTGCGAAAATAGATTTCTTTTCCCCGAATGAGAATAATAAGCCTAGACAAACTTATGTATGCCACATATAACTTTTCGACAAGCACGTTATACGAAATTAAAAAAAAAAACATGATTATGGCAAATATTTTTCAACCGAATGAAAATTTTAATCCACCAAAAGTTGTGTGCACGTTGAAAAACTTTTCCATGACTTAGACTGTTTATTTGGTTTGTCATGAGTGAATGGTGTAATTTATCACAGCAGCTTCATGCAAGTGAATAACAAACATACATAAATGTACATGTTTATTACAATTTTAGTGGATATTTCATTTAAAATGTTCACAATATTACGGTTGGTATTACTGCACCAAAAATTGGACCAAAGCACAAAACTATTTCATGTCAATACATAACATGCAAAATTTGCTGTAAATGTAATTTTGCTGAATTATTTATAATTGAATTTTTTAAACAACCATATCGCAAGCTGAAAGGAGTCCCGGTAATTTTGAATAATTTCACATGATAGAGAAAGAAATCACAACCGAATTGAAATTGATAACCTTTCATACAAATAACAACTATCAAATGTCTCAAAGGACTGTACAGTGTACAGTGTACACTGAGTAAATTTTTGAGTTGGAAATAAAATTCACAAATAGACAGCTACCGGAGAAACATTGCATAGACTCTCTGCCAGAGAATAAGCTGTACTCGAAATTTAGCCACGTAATCGGAAGTGATTTTATGGGAAAATTTAAAATGAAAATCGGTACTTCGCTCATAGCTTCTGAAGTGGGCGATGCAAGGGGAATTAAATCACAACGTTTTACACACAAATCATTATCTTCGATTTACACAACCCTTCATGCAAACATTTAAAAACCAAAGCCAATATGAATTATTTTCACATTCAACTTGAAAATCTCTTTTTACATAGAGACATCCGATTCCATTGTGCTTGAACCGAAATAACCAGAAGTATTTATGACACCCGATTCACAGTGCATAACTCCTGAAAAAATATACGATAAATGTTTGTATGAAATTTATCATTTTGATTGAATGAGTAGTGCAAAAACATGAAAGACCACCGTCGGATGTTTTTCATTTGATTTTCTTTTTTTTTTTTTTCAAAAACACTCGATTTCTTGCGCCCATGAAACCGAATGCCCGAAAAATTGAAAGATCCGAATATTTCGGGCTCTGGCGGTCGTCGGTCAGACGTTCGATTCGGGACCCCCCTACTATAGAGTACAATGCAAAATATCAAAATTTGCTACCAATTTTCATTGGAATGTATGCATATATTTTAACTACAACCGTATCAATTTATCACCGAATGATAATAATCGTACGCAATTTCCAAAAAAAAAGAATCAAAATTGCATCTGGTTTCTATTTGTATGTGTTGCGAGCGTTTTATTGCAAAATGTGATGCATCTTGTTCAAATAACGGAATTTAATCGCCAAAGAGGATTTCAAATAAAACGCACATATATAAACACACACACGCACACACACATGCTGCTCAAAACAGAATAAATAAATTCATTGTGGGCGTTGTTGCTTCGAACGTATGTGTCAGAGGGTGGATGTGCTACGTTGCACACTACATTTTATGATAAATTTTCTCTATATTTATTTTATGAAGTAGTAAAAGCGAAATGAAATAATTTTTGCGCATGAAATCGAATCGCATTTGCATATATGGGATACGTTGCACCAGCAAAATAATAATAAGTGGAATATGAAATGTATTAAAAGAATTCTTTTTTACTTTGATTTGCTTTTTTTCATTGTGTTATCGATGCAAAACTTGTTGTCGCTTTTTATGTGTGCTCGATATGTTGGAAGCGACACAGAGCAAATCTGAAGAATCAAAACGAATTGAACTAATGATGAATGACGCGATGAAATGTAGACGGGATACTCTAATAAATTTCGATAAAAAAAGAGAAAAGATGAAAAATAATAATAACGCATACGAATACAGACTGTGAGAGTTAAAGGAATGAATGCGATGAATCAATCCATGTGTAAAAATATAATGATGTACTCTTCATATTTACGATATTTGATTCGAGCTTTTTCTATCGCATTTTCTCCTTTTATGTCGCACTTTATTTACTTGATTCACCCGATTTTTTCACGTCCTCCGGCTAAAAAATGGCATCATTTTTTTTCGGTCGACGATCTCTTTTCCCAATATTGCTTTTTTCACTTGGTCTCTCTTTCTCTCTCTCTCTCTCTCTCTCTCGTTTGCTCAGTTGCTTATCCGATCGAAACATATGTATAATTTTTGAAATGTGCATTCACTTGAACAACATTCAGTGGTGTGCTCACTATTTTCACTCGTGTTTTTGCCATCGCATGTGCGCACACAAACACACGTATCGTACACACACTCTACTTTGAAAGAGTCCATCGAATTCAAATAGAAAAATCAGCACAAAAATCTACCACAGAGAAATTTCATTTTTCGAGTCTATCTCTCTCTCTCCAAATGTAACGAACGTTACTATTGAAATTCATTGGGGATAAAGTGAGAGAACGAGTAGATGGAAGGCCATTGCGATTCAATCAAAGGATTTTAGCACTTCATGTTTTTGCAAATATTTTCATATTTGCATTTTTTTGCTCGCGAAAAAAGTCGCCGGCGTGTTTTCTCTACCTCTCACTCTCAATGTGCCTCTCAATATCTCTGTGTCTCTGTCTCTCTCTCTTTGGTGAAATAGTGAAAACTGCTGCCGGTAAAAAATATATATGATGACAGTTCAAATGTACCCTTTTCAACAGAAATGTAATCGTTATTAAGCTATTTCAATTCTTTGCGCTTAGTTTTAGCATTGATACTAAAATCGCTAACGCTGGATTTAATTAAAAGAAAAAGATTTTTTTAAACCCATTCTCCATTTTTGATCTCATTCTATTCATAAAATGTTCACTTTGCCATTTTAATATTGGACTGTATTCAAATTGAAGTAGATTTTCGCTTGATGAATTTTTATAATATGGTCTTAATAAATTGCAGTACTCAACACACACAACTTTGTGTCATTTTTATGGTGCATAACATAAACATTCATGTGCATATGAAACAGTTCCACTTCATAGTCGTGATGGGTTCATATTTTTAATTGTCGCCTCTGTGTATGTTTTTTATTTCGTGTATATGCATTTTTTGTTGTATTCTTTTATTTTCTCGTGCACGCGTGCATTTCACTTTTTGTCGATTTAATTTGTCGATTTTTTTCTGTGAAAGATTTACATTTTTCCACGCATTTTTCAACTGCTTTTTTGAAGTTTGATGGGGCTAAAAAATGTTTAAAGCTCGAAGTAATTCTCTTGAAAATGATTTTTTTTTTTTTGCGTTTAAAAATAAACAACATAGTAGTCATATAATAAATGAAGTACTTACGATATAATTTGATTGATCCATCAGTTTCACCAAGCGAATTTTTTGCTACGCATCTAAATATAAATGAAAATATTAAATTAAAAGAATTAAAATCCCTCCGTTCCACCCAATGAAATTTTCGAAATAATTTATAAATAATAATAATATAAATATTTTTAAATGCACAACATATAGATGGAAAACGTACTTGTATGCACCGTAGTCATTCATATCAACATCGATAATCGTCAATTTCATCGCCACTTTGTAGATATTCTCGAACACTTCTTGTACATATTTACTGCCTGCAAAAGAAAAATTGGAAGAAAAATCGGGTCACAGTGAAAATGATCAAGCGATAAAATGAAATGAGATGATACGATGCGATTAAGTGACAATTTGAAAATGGTTGTAATGATAATCGGGTTAAATAATGTTTTACAGTTTACCGCGCACACTGCGTATATGCGAAACGATGAAATTCCATTCAGAATTGCATATACGAACACATACATATTGTCAGAGAAACATTTATTGAGCGTTTCGCCCGGAGAGCGTGTAAAAGTTGGTAAAAATGACATTGTGTTTGCTGTTCATGTCATCAACGTTGGCGGATGACAAGTGTTTCGTGCCAACTGAAATGCTTCCTTCAAACTTGATGTTCTATAAAAGTGACAATTCGAATTTAACGCGTGAAGAAACAACCATTACACACATTCACACACATGCGATCTCAATACAAAGTGTAAATTTCCAATTGAATGCATGCAACGTCACACTAAACAAACAATAGTAGTATCGTTTAACACAAAATATATTGTCTTTGCTATTCAAAGAAACTGTGCAAAGACTCGTCATTTTCTTGTGGATAATATTCGATGCCAATTTAAAATTGGCGTTGGGGGAATTGTAAATTGAGGGCGTGAAGTGACTTTTATGCCACTGGCAAATGCATTAACGAGATCGTTATTTTAGTTTCATTATGATCGATCCGCCAATTTAAAATCGAAAGCAAACAATTTTATCTAAAAAAATAATGTTCGGAGTATTTCTCAACAGAGAATGCCATTTATCAAGTCTAAATAGGTTTATCCGACAAATTACGTCTTTGAAACGCAACGATAATAAAGAAAAGCTCGAGAGGCGGAAAAACATCTTTGACAACATATTTTGTTGCAAAATGTTGTTGCTGATTTAAGCTTTTTAAGGTATTTATTTAAAAATTTAACGATATCCGTAGAACTTTTTGCTACTTCTTTTCAATAAAACCATCAGTAGTATGTATAAAACAATATTTCTATTACATATTAATCCACGCACACACATTTCTGAGTGAATTTGTCGGAGGCAAGCGTCGATATATACATATTTGATTGCAGTCAAATGGAATGAGAGTAATGTGCACACGTGTGCGTTGGCGATGAGATTTATACGCTCTACGTCAAACGCAAATTGAAATGTATACTTATATATGACGAAAATAATTGCTTAATTTCCGTTTTTAATAATATGCGGGAAAAATGACAAATGGAAAGAGAAAAAAATTAGCAAAGTACTTATGAAAAATTGATAAGATGTTTTTTTGTTCTATCTCATTGTTCTCTCATGACTGCGTCATTTTACAGTATTTTATTGTGAAAAGAATGTGCGAGCATTTGTGTTGATTTTTCTTTATATGTTTAAGCCGAAGACGAGCAAAAAAAAATGTTTCTATTTGTGTGTGTAAATGTGAAAACAATGAGAGTAAATTCGGTTCGTGTATTTGCTTTGAAAATTAATAGTAACCGAACGTATGTCTTTATTTTCTCGGTAATGTTTTCTTTCGTCTAATTTTTTTTTGTGTCCTGTCTTTATTCCTCGTGTTCACTCACTCTATCTTCACTTAAGCCAATGGATGTAAATGCGAAGCTGCCAAGAAATAAATTGCCCAAAGAATTGAATTTGATGTGAATCATGTGAATTGAATATATTTTGTCGGTGAAAAGTTAAACAATAATGTAGTGCAAAAAAGGAAACATCGTTTTATTTATGCAGCAAAGCACACAAAATGTGTCTACATTACGATGCGTTTGTATAAATATTACATTTAAAGGGAATGAGACCAAGACCGAAATATACTGTTGTAAAATTTATCAAGCATACTACGCACACAACTCGTCTCAGTTTCTGCTTTTTTTTCCACTTCACATTTTGGATAAGCACAACGCAAAACAATTTGGGACAAACTGGGAGAAATGGATGAAATGCCGCCGTCATCAAGAGCTTCAATAAGAGAAATGTGTACGAAATCATTTAATGTTTGAATATTTTCACTTCCGTGACGTTGGTGTTTTCGATGCGCAACGACAAGCACTTGTAACGATTATACAAGCATTATAAAATGCGTTAATGTTGTGTACTTCCTGGATAATTCCTATTTTATTTATACATACTTACTTCATTTTCGACTTAACTGTTATTTCGTTGTTGGAGATTTTTTTTTTCATTTAAAACTTCGGCGAGATTTAAAGGATTAAAAATGTATATTTGTGTGCGGTGATTCCTTTGAAGTTATATATATTCTTTCATGTTACGATTGTGTAACTGAAAGTTTAATTTTAATGGATCCGAACCTTTCATTGATGATATCTGCATGGATTCGATTAATCCAAAATCGCCGATAGCGTTGATGATTGATAACCAATCTAAACGTTCCATTTTTTTTCACCGGTCGAACAACAAAGAGCAACCAAAAAACTATGAAACGATGGTTTAAATAACTTACCAGAAGTAATGATTGAGTCATTTTTCGACGAAGCTCGCATCCAAAAATTAATTGACTTTGGAAATGCCTCCGATGTGCATTCGAGAGTAACATTTTGTCCGGTGGCAGCACCAACCAATTGATTTTGGATCATCATCATAGGTGGAACTGCAATGAAATGTTTCAACAAAGCAAAAAAAAAAAAAATAAGTGAAAAAACCACCTTGATCGAAAGGAATGCCATGCAATTACAAAACGAATTGAATGCCATAAAAAAAAATGGTGGAACAAAATAGAAAAAAGAGCGACATGAATCTGTGTAAACGATAAAAGACGACTAACGTCGAAAATGACCAATGTATGTTTGCTCAATGACCAATTCGACATGCCAGAGCTTTGTTTAATCTATGTGTTCGACATTTCTCTGTCGATTTTTTTTATTCGCGTATGTATCTGTGCACAAAACGATTTCTCGATGCACGCAATCACTTGATCGCTTCGATTGGTCGCTACAATTTCGAAGTTACGAAACGGACACAAACGAAAAGAGATGTGAAAATGAAAAACGTGTTCAATGTGTTGAAAGTTGCTTGGCAAATTAGAATGTAGCACACATAACTTTTTGGCTTTATTGAACCGTATAAAGTGTAACCAGGGCACGCGAGAAATGCACCAATTCTCATATATACACGCGCGCTCATCACGTTGGAATCGGAAAAAAATAGAATAAAAGAATTTCCAATTCATCAACTCACGCGTGCATAGAAAAATGTACGAGATGTGAATGGAAACGATTGTCTCACGTCTCTCTAATCACATCCATACGGCGCGCGCGAGAGAGAACCATATCACCCAATAATGTTTTTGTGTTTTGGACTGCTGCAATGCCAGACATACGCACTAAACAATGAGATCGACACCAGAGTGATTGAGTGTGAGCAAAAGACTCAATGGAGTTGTGCGAACAAATTGATGGACCACATGAATGTGTGCCAAAAATACTTTGTAACGATGCCGAAACACAAGAAAGTTGTAAAATTGGCAATGCCATTGCCAACGGATTAATATCAATACGAATGTGTGATTTGGTGCCTAACTGGAATGCCTAATACATCAAACGGAACACTGAACGTAGGCGAATCGTTTTCATGTGGTTCCCTTGCTTTTTTGTGCATAAAATAAATACATGTTTAAGTTGTAAACACATTTTGTGGCGATATTGTTGAATTGAAATTGGTACGCGGTGAAATTTTGATATACTAAACGTGTATGACGCAGAAAAATGGGGAAGTTCAAATGTATTCGGTCGTAGAAGAAAGAAAATCTTTGTGTTAAAGTTTTCTCGCTTTGCCCGAAATGCTGCTGCTTTCTAAATGTTGTTGAATTAAGGCGCGCGAAAATCTCATCAATAATATTTTATTGGCTTTGGATGAAATGTAGACTGGCGCAAAGTTTCTTTCTCTCCTTCTTCGGCATCTCATATCCGTTTCAAAAATCCGAACGGCAAAGGTTGCTCCACTTTTTCCGTTTATACAAACACATAATTTCTGGTGAACCGATTCGTTTCGCACGCACTTCTCGATTCCACACTAAATTAGTGCGCTCACATTTAATTGAATCGAGCCGTTGATGATGGGTTGCCATTGATACATTCCGATTCGTTTGCCAAAATTACAGTGCTTATTACAAACATACAAACCCGATTATGTTTTCGTTTAGTCGTCGCATCGATAAGAGTGTCTTGATTGCTAATCTCAGTTTGTGGCTTTCTGTTTCGATGGTTGTTTTACCGCTGAAACATTCAATACTCCACAAACTTAATAAATGAAGGTGTATTTTTCGGGCGTTGTAATTAGCAATAGAGTAAAGCTCTTAATAAAGTGTTTATCGGTTGTTTGTAAAGAGACGCAAATAGACAGAGATCTGTGTTTCATTTAACACGAATCGAACGTGACATGATATTTACACATGATTTGACAAACGGAAGAACAGCCGTAGATTCCACTTCTTTACGTGTTCGCGTTATATACTAATAAATACCCAATCACTGATTCAACCTCAACATTTGTTATCATTCTCCGGAAATAATTTGCTTCCATACATACGTTTCGAATACATTTGCAAAAGACCATCAGAAACATTTTATTAATAATTTACTTGGAAGCGCGCGCAAAGCGTTTGTTGATTGATTGACTCAAACCATTTGAATGCATCAAATGTTGTTATTTATAGCTCTTTTCAAATTCAATTTTGTATGAGCAAAATAAGTGATTCATCGCCACACATCCTTGATGAACTGGCAAATCATTTGGAAATATAAACACTGGATTGCAAAATTGCTCGCTATTTAGTTACGCTTTCATTCTATCGTGCAACGCTACCAGTCAATTAAATTACAATAGTTCCATAAATTTTCGCTATTTCAAAAGCATGGATGAAAATGGCCAGCACAAACCGAAAGCATTTTTGCCCTTGTGAATGCATTTGTTTGATGAATATATTTGAATGAAAACAAACCCGACAGGTTACCTAATTGACTCACTCAGAATAAGAGAGGTAGTGAACCTGAACATTTAAACTGCATTGATTTGATCTCATATTTGTGCAATTCTCATATTCAATGCAGTGCAAAAATGCAAACCATAAACAACATTTGGTATTTGGTAGAATTTGGGTTGTGTCAATCAAGTACTCTTTTGTGTTAATTTCAATGTTATTTTTTCATCAGATTTTCATCCATTTGCCATATTTGTAAATAGAACTCCGTGGAGGTTTTTCGACCCATAGCAATTTCGGGTGACTTTTTCGCTCAAATTATGGGCTACTCACCAAGTTTCACGGTTTTTTCTGACATTTCAATTCGACCTTTGATACCTGCTTTCGCCCCTACTACAGTGAACAAAAACTCGAGCTAGTTTTTTTTAGAAAATATTCCTCCCCATCCCTGATTTTGAAAGCCCACACTTTCTCGTGAAATTTGAAATCAAAATCGCCTTTACGTTGAAATATCTTGTTCTCTATGTCATTTTTGAATGGCGAGGCAAACTGATTAGTTTTCCATTGCATTTCAAATCAAATCAATGGAACAAATATTCACTGAATACTAGGCCTTAATTTTGAATATGGAAACGTTCCATTGGAAAATTGGTGTATTTTCTTTCGCCGTTATTCAATACACTTTATTTGCAGTTCATTCAAATTCGAGCATTAATTGCTGAATCTCTCGAATAACACAGCATTGTGTGACTTTTTTTTGTTTCTGCGGTTCAATTGTATTTTTGATGAAGAGAAGTCCACTATTGATGCGGTGCGGATATTTCTATTTTGCAAAAAAAAACGCCAGTTCCAATGCGCCAAACGAAAAATTGACGCTAATTTTGGCATCCAATTTTACGTTTGCACTTGCGCGCGGTTCTGATGCATCGACCGTGTGCATTGTGTAATTGGTGAAATGGTTTGTGATTGTTTCTTTCGTGTTTTTCTCACGTTTATTTACTGGCACGAATTAGATTTTCCCGATTGCATTTTTTTGTGTGTTGGTAAGTCACTCTCTTTCTCTCTCTCTCTCTCTCTCTCTCTCTCTTGTTCACATGTCGCATTGTCGATCAAAATTACACGCAAATAAATAAACCATATAAATGACACAAAAAAAATGTAGATTCTTGCTACGCTGCTGCATCCGTGCTTATTTATTCATTTGTGTGGGGGCGGGTGTTCTTTTTTCGTGAGCGAACAAGTTACCATCGGAAAAAACATTTTTAGCGATTTATTGGTGTGGAAAACGGTTGCGATTTGTATGGTTTAGCTTACGAACTTCTCTCTATGTATATACTCTGCGATGCAATCGGATAAAACAAATAGAAAATCAACTTGAGCTTGTTGTGTCACTCCACTCTCGCAATAAATCACGGAATTTTGTTGAATGGGAGAAAAATTGCAAATAAACCATGATTGATAAAGCAATTGTAGTTTAGCATCACATTTGTTCTTTCGAGCAAACACAAATCCTTTCTCACACCTTAATTATGTATCGACCAAAGCGTGTGCTATGCGCTCGGATTTAACAGTGTGATGCTATTTTATGTTGCGCAATTATTTTCACTGTAATTGCGTATATAATCCGAAAACAAATTGAGTTCATACAGTTAAAATAGCCACGTTTCTATTAACACTATCAAAATGTTGTTTTTCTTTGTCGACTGTGTTTGTTGCGTCGAAAGAGAGAAAGCGAAAATGTGTATAATTCGTCAAATTGACAGATTAATTTGGTCGTTTGCCTATCAACGCTGATTGATTTCATTGTGTATTTTCGAAATGAGATTTTTCCCCCTATGATGCGCACAAAACGTTAGGTATAATAAATTTTCTAGATGATAACGATTGTAACAATCCTGTTGCTTTCGTGGGTTGGCGCGGATGAAATGCAATTAGTTGGACAGCAAATTGCTCAATCAGTTTATCGTTAAATGTGTTGTAGCAAAAAAAAACGTACAGACAAAAAATATCAAAAGCCATAAACCGAAGCAAACAAAATAGTCGCTTGATTTACAATCAATTCAAATATGAAGAGACACAACATTTATAACGTGTCGTCAATTATGTGTATTAAGCTCTTAAAAATATGATTTTTATGGAATGACCCAGCTGTGGCTTCAATGCACATAAATATGACACAGTGGATTGTTTTTTTTTCGTGAATTTTTATCCAATTCCAAACAATCAACAATGTAGCATCAGTATATCACATCCGTTTCTATTTGTCATATGTATTTTTTATGTAAGTAATGGAGGGAAAAAACTCAATTCAATTCATTTTATGGTTCATTCGTTTAATCCTTTTATGTGAGCATGTTTCATAAGTGCTATCCACACTTCAAAAGCAATTAAATTCGTTTTAATACACTAAACCGGAATGAAATTTCAATTTTTTTATGTTGTTAAAAAATATTTGACTTTAAAGCCATTTTCAATGACATTTATATAATAATATTTTTTATTCAATGTGTATTGGGAAGTTGTGTCCAAACAACACAATCAACGACCAAAATCAACAACAAAAAAGAAAATGATTCAATTTACAGAAGAAAAAAAGTGCTAAATGCATTCATCGATAATTGAAACAAAATCGATAACGACATGACAATAAAGTGCTTTCATAAAAGTTGTTTGCCTCCCTCCCCCTCTGCCCTTCGTTTCTGTTTGTGATTTAATGTGCTGATGATAATTGATAGTATATAGAAAAAAAGCGGTATTGATCTTCAATTGAATAAATGTTCAATTAAATTGAAATGTCGCGTCCTCTGTCGCCCGCTTCTAAATAATTTCAAAACTAAATCCCATCACAAACGTGTTGGAATGAGTTGAATGTGCGTTGATGGCAAATCAATTTGTTCGCAACTTAAACATGTAATTTATTTTCCAACACAAAATCAGTTAAGCATCGTTTGATGTCGCTTATCATTAAAGTAATAAAAATAAATCATGCATTTCAATCGGTGTGATTTAAAATCCATTTTTTATGCAACTATCTTCCGGTGAATTGACAGCATTTCGAAGAGCGGGTGTAAGTGAGAGAATGAGAAAAAAAAGAACTAAAATGGAAAATCGACACGTATACATAAAACCAAAAGAGAACATGCAAACTTCTCGTCGCTCGTTTGCGATGCAAGTGAGAGGATATTTTTCATCGAGAAGAATAAATGTGCAATAAAAATCACTGTGTGAATACTTACAATGAACAATCAGCATGATTCGCTTGGATACCGTTGGCGGAATTCCATTGCTTGCAATACACAAATACGCTGACATATGAAGCCTGTCAACGCGCGGTATTGAAAAGGACGACCCGTTGATGCTGGACACTGTGTGTGTGAAAGTAGAGACCAGAGCTGTAAACGAACGGTTCGTTCGTTCGCAGCTTTTTTTATTCAATTTTTGTTCGTTCGTTCGTAAAAAATCAAATGTTCGAATTGTTCGTTCGAATTGTTGATTTTGTACGTACGAACGAACAGACAAAATAAAAATATTTTTTTTTTGCCTACGAACGAACGAACGAACGAACGTTCGTTGACAGCTCTGGTTGATATATACAAAAATGTGAGAAAAGCGTTTGCATTTATTCAAATTTCAAGTATTACCGACCAGACAAAAGGAACAAAAACAAATACTCTGTACAGAAACCCAAACATTGAACAAAAGCTAACGATGAAAATGCTCTATCTGTGCGCACATATTTTTGGTTTTTGGATTATAGAAAGTGAGCGATAGAAAAGAGAAGAAGTTAGAGAATGTGATGGAATGGTAAAGTCGGTGCAAAGTTCAATGCAGTAATTCATGGTGTTGATCTATAGATTGAATGGACTAATGATAGTGACATGATGAAACGGTGATGCCATTAGCATCATCAGTTGAAACACGAAAGATCAACGACATTCACCATGAGATACGGAATCAAATCTAAACCATGGATTTTGCTCTGTTTTTCTCTCTTTTTTCTGTTTATTTCGGTGATGCTCTTCTCTCTCTCTCTCTCTCTCTATCGTTCTCTTTTTCTATATATTTCTTCCTTAGTTCATCCATCGCGTATAAGTATGCACTCAAATAAATCGCCTGAATCGAACTTTTGTATTTCAAGTGGTTGAATGAATGTGTTTGTGTTTTGTGTGTGTGTGTGTGCGCTTATGTCCCACTCATTTTCGCTAAAACTTCGCAACGAATCCAAACTGTTTGTATATGTAGATTGGCCAGGGCCAAACGTTTCGATGCTTGATATGACGCATAAATTAGATTTCCATATGGGAAGTTTTAAATAAAGTCGAATTTGATGACACTAAACGTAGACATGTGCCATACCATCTATACACATATGCATGTATAATACAAAGAAATTGCATCGCCAAAACCAAACTTACAACGTATTGCGTTAGTTGCATTCGCTTGCTCAACAAATTTACAAACGTAAGCGCATAAAGTCGTTGTTGCGAATGGTACTGTTGAAAATATTCACTAACAAACGACGATTGAAAGAGTGAATGTATGATGAACAAACGAACGAGCCAACGGAAGATAAAAAGAGAGAAAGAAAGAGAGAGAGTTCAAATACAAATGGTAGTCCATTTTACGTGTGTTAACGCAATGCTCCATGATGTGCATCCATAAATTATGTTCGAACTATGCCAATGGCTGTTTTCCCGTATTCTCTCTTTCTGTATATATCGTCAGGTTGTTCAAACAAGACACATTCATGTACCATGAATGGCACATTGTATGCATAGTTTGTTAATATGTGTATGTGTGTGTTTTTTGTCGCTGATTGAACCAACATGACGAATTGTGGAAACGAAGGATAAACTAATGGCAATTATATGCATTATTAATGACATTGCGAATTTTCTAATTCAATTAGAAGTTACAAACTTGACGAAACCGGATCGCAAAAGAAATATTGCCTTTTCGCATTTCCATTCTGCCAAATGACATCAAACATTTGCACGATGTGCTTGTTGCCAATTTACGATTTCATCACTTTTACCGGTGAGTTGTGATGTGATCGGGGTGAAACCTACATATTGATGAATGTTTTTGTACAGGTTGTGTTCTTCGGTTCATATATATATGTAGCATTTGAATGTTAAGTAGGTTATGGGTTTTGCACAAGCAATTACACACTCGATGTTCCATATAGATTCTGATTCTATTGACTTACGTTCAATGCCTCCAGGTAACTTAATCGGTTCTCCGTCTTCTCTTCGGAATGTAATGCTCGGCAAGGGGGAGCCAGTGGCTAGAAGAAGATGAGAAAAAAAAACACCGCAATAAAATCAAGATTCACTTCGATTTTTTTAACGATATCGTTTATACCTGAACACTTCAATGTCACATTGCTACCCTCTTTAACAACCATATCGGTGGATGTATCACCAGGATAATCCAAAATGTCAGGTGGAACTACGATATATAATCGAAAATACATCACGTTTTAATGTACAATTGTACCGTAAACATTTTCCTTATCTTGTGTTCAAAAATAATTTTATTGACGCACACACCGAACCAGCGATGTAAGCAATTTTCCCATTTATTCGGTTCGGTTTTTATATCCATTTTATTTTTGGATTTTTATTAAGAATATTCATACAAATCGATCAAAATTAATGGTCAAAGTAGTTTGTATTCAATGAACACAAGCGACAAATGTGACATGAGGCACCTTTTTTGCAGCCATTTCAAAGACCACAAATGTGTCATTCACGTGCCAACACACTACGTGCGAATAAAGATGATTTCTTTGCTTTTATTTCGGTTGATCATGAAATTAAGCACTTTTTGTTGACCCGATGACATAATGTGCTTCTTCTCTTTTCACAGATACATAAAAATGGGCGCCAACACGAACCAAAAGCGAAAATTGCATTTGAATTGTCTTCGAAACGGACTGGTGTGTGCGTGTACAAGAATCAAAATAAAAAGAAGAAAAATACCCACCAACCACATTTAGATATGCTATTTGAGACTTCATCGGATCCGTATTAATTTGGCACTGTACGAAAATAGAGAAAAAAAGAAGAAAAGAATACACATTGTCCGATTTTGTTAATATGCTCTTTATTGCTGTATACCATAAAGATTATATTTGTACGATTTATTCGGGGCGAAAAGTTTTCTCCACTACTGTCAATTCACTTACCATGTACCATCCCTTGTCCGTTTCTTTGACATCTCGTATTTTCAATTGCCAGGCGCGGTTCTCTGCGTGTGTGACTACCATTCGATGATTTTTTGTTATAACGTGCGTTTGAATCGTCAATATTGTTTGAGTGTCGACTCGGAGAAATGCAGTCTAGTCAAAAAATGAGAAAATAAAACGATTTGTGAGAAATAAAAAGAAAGCTCTTCCGAAAAAACACTCAATGTAATGTGACTGAAGCGGAAGTCGTAAAACGGAATAAATTTTCTAATGATATTTTTTCGAGTGTCAAACGCCTCATGTTGAATGGAAATTAACCGAAAAAAGCCCATAAACAATTTTCATGGTAATTTCCAAACGAAAAAGTTGTAGTTTGTCTAGATTTTCTATAAATGTTGTGTGTTTTTGCATTAAAACCCCATTCGATATGTTCGAACACAACATGTTGTTTCGTGTGTCCCTCGAAAATCGGACATTAACGATTAGATAACGCACAGCACATACACAATTCCAATGGAATCTTAAATGCCTTGTATCACGAAATAAGGCATCTCGAATCACATATATTATTTCTGATTTGTCATGTGTCATGTGCATTAATCCAAATCTTCTTTTTTGCTATCTGAGTCGAGAAACCGTCATCATGCATTTACACACTCAATAGCTATCACCACTATCAATGGTTGAAACCAAAGTAGAAAAAAAAGCTTCGTTTGAAACATGAGCTGATTGAAATGAGTATTGACTATGAGGTTGGGGATGAAAAATATGGTGTATTTGAAAATCAAAACCACAATTTGCAAATGCGATAAAATCGGATGGCATCAAACGTTAATCTGCGGTAAGCTGTTTAGTCAATGGCAATTACCATCAACATATTCACACAATAACTCACGCATAATTTGGACTTTAACATCGAATCTGTCTCTCCAGTGTAATAAAACAATAACGAAAAAAATATGTGTGTGTTGATATGTAATTTCAAAACAGATTTATGCAAATCTCATCAAAATAAAACCTGTAATGCTGTCATTTGATTACTATTTTTGCCTTAAAATCGTGGCCAGCAAATTCATCTGTGTTGTATTAAAATGGTCGTTATTTGGTCAAAATTGAAACCATGTACATGCAATTAAAATACCTATCTAAACATTTTGCGAACAGTTTCCACATATGAATGATTGAGAATAATAATGACTCACGCCGAAACCGACTCTTTTTGCTCGGTGTCTAGTGGCTAAACCGAAAGACATAGTTGTAAAATTTCTTGATGTAGTTTGAGATCACTACTAAATCTCAAACTACATCAAGAAATTTTACAACTATCTCTTTCGGTTTAGCCACTAGACACCGAGCAAAACGAGTCGGTTTCGGCGTGAGTCATTATTATTCTCAACCATTCATATTACATATTAATATGTATTATTTTTAATTTAGTGGATTCGAATGAAGATATATATGTATCAGCGAAAGCTATTTGATTGAATTTTTGGTCATTCTTTACGACCGCCTGTGTGAATCCATTTATACACATATGTTGATTGAGTGCATTTGGACACATTTCGCATAAACCAAAGCCAATTTTTTTTATCGATATGTTTTTGGTGCATGCGTGTGTGCAGCACACACTGGCATTTTTAATTATAATACTGCAATGTTTATTTAAACTAATTTAACAGCTATATCAATATTTCGTTGTAAATGCGATTCCAGTGGCTAAACGCAATCAAAGTGTAGTTGTGCGGGTGAAAAATTTCATTTGGGTCGACCATAAACCACTTCAATCGTATTATTTTATCGATCGATTATATCGAGTGATGTTGATTTGGTGGAAAAATGATCGAAGGAAAGGGCGAATGGCAGCAGAATGTAAATAAGCGAAAATAAATTGTGTTTAGTTTTGCTGGTAGCAGAATTCATAATATGGTGCATCGTAAACACAAATACCTGTTATGGGAAAAGCCTTTGAAATCGATTGAATATTTACGAACATTTCAAGTGGGTATGGGAAAAAGCTTTCATCAAAACGACGAGAATATCATTAATGTAATTTTGTTTTCTCTGTTAACTGAATCATGGCAGTCAAGTGACACATTTGCGTTTGCGATAATATTTTATTCAAAACGAGGTCAAGTGATTAATTCATCTCGTGGAAATGTGTGTGTGTGTGTGTGTGTGTGTGTGTGTGTGTGTGTGTGTGTGT